TATTGAGTTTTTTAGTGTGTTTTTGTGATATAGAAGAGAGTTGGAAGAGCTTGGAGCCATCAAGCTTGTGGAGAAGATCAAGATCCAGGATTTCATCCATCATTGGCAACCTTTTGAGGTAAAAGATCTTAGCTTGATAACCCATAGCTTAGATCTCTTTTAGTGTTGATTTATGGGTCTTTTTGATCCCTTTGAGAAGGATAAGTTACTCTTCATGGGTTGTATGCTAAGCAATCCATTTTTCCTGTGATATTTAGCCTTTAGAACCATAAAAGAGGTCTTGAACCCGTTTTTGTCCAAGCAATGGTCATGTTTATGGAAGTAGGTTGCTATAACTTGAGTTTGGGTCCATTTGAGGTGTGCAAAGCCATCAAGTCTCCAACTTTATAGAAATGGACCATGGAAACGATCTGGATCTGTATTTTGGAGCCTTAGAAGTGTGAAATCAGCTGTTTAGGTTAGATCTGCAAGGGACTCGACGAGTTCATATGGGAACTCGGCGAGTCCGATCAAGGATCCTCGATGATGTTCAAGAAACTCGACGAGTTGTCAAGGAACTCGACGAGTTGGATCATCTTGTCCCTTTTTTGACTAAGTAGGACTCGGCGAGTCTGAGGACGACTCGACGAGTTAGTTCGTCCAGTCGCGATGATGGGTAGCCTGGGAACTCGACGAGTCATAGGGTGACTCAGCGAGCTGAGTCGCGATTTTAGGGTTTTTGAATTCTAGAACTCGACGAGTCAATAGGCTGACTCGGCGAGTTAGGTCAACCTGGAAGGTTGACTTTGACCAGGGGTAAAATGGTCATTTTACCCTAAGAAGGATTATCAGGTTTTGATTAAGTGTTGTTATGGAATTAATAGTTGGAGAGTCGCCGGAGCAGCAGACAGGGATTCCTCACTCGAGTTTTCAGCAGTCAGTCTTGCGAGGTGAGTTCCCTTTCAGTAGGAACGGGTCAAAGGAACAAAGGCCGACCCGTATATGTGATATGTTAGTAGCTGAGTGTGGGCAAGGCCCGAATCTCCTAGCAGTCAAGTGTGGGCGGGACCCGAATCTCATAGTATTATTTGAGTATAGTTATGTGATTGCTTGATAGATATACTTGTTGTCTATAAGATACTTGTATGCATGTTAGTAGCGGAGTGTGGGCGGGGCCCGAATCTCCTAGACAGCAGAGTGTGGGCAGGGCCCGAATCTCCTAGACAGCGGAGTGTGGGCGGGGCCCGTATCTCCTAGTTGTATGTTGTTTGTATGGTATGTGGTAGTTTGGGGGAGCTCACTAAGCTTTGTGCTTACGGTTTTTCAGTTTTGGTTTCAGGTACTTCCACTAGCAAAGGGAAGGGCTCGGGATGATCGCATGACACACACCATAGTCTTTAGCCTGAGAGATTTACTCTGATATTTGATATGAGATTTTTATATGTTGACAAATATTATGATATTTTGAGACAAATTGTTTATGATTTTATACTATGGCGATGATATTATGGTTTTAATAACGATTTAAAAACGAAATTTTTGGGTTGTATTTTTGGGACGTTTCAGTTGGGTTTGGACCGAGTTATGAGAAAATCACATGGGGTTTGGTCCAAAATTTCCGGCTCCATAAATCAATTACAGGTATTATGTTACATAATGTATTAAAGAAAAATGTTGGTAATGGTTTGTTGACTTGGTTGTGGGATGATGTTTGACTTGGAGCCTTTGAAGCTTCGTTTTCAACGACTTTTCTTATTGGAAGCTTAACATAAATTGTTTTTAAGTGGTCGTTTCATTAATGGTATTTGGTATTGGGAGTGGCATAGTGAAGTTAGGGGTTGAATAATTAATGATCTTGTCTAGTTTACTGTTTGTTCCTACATATCAAACGAACCGTGGAGGAGATATAGATCCTTCGAAGGAGTTCTAAGTTATTTATATGTGTTCTCATATTGAGGATATTACTCTTGACGTTGGAGGTGGTTCTACGAGATGGAATAAATTTGCTTCAAATAAGTCAAGAATCTTGATGTGGAGAGTTTTTGTTACATTAGATGTCATCAAAAAACAACTTGGCCAACATGGATGTGTATTTGGATTCTATCTTGTGGCCGGATTGTCAAAATCATGACGAAAATTTTGATCACTTGTTCATTTTTATGTGAGGTGGCTAAAACGATTAGACATGTCATTTGATGGTGGTGGGATTTGGTGATTCTCGTCGTCATTTCGGTTCTAGAATTGTTAACTTAGATGGATTTTGTGCAGTCAAGTAGTTGACCGCAACACAACGTTCGTGTTTGGAGGTTGTCGTTTTAACGATCATTTGGATGTGATGTGCAATTTATATACTACCAGTTTTAAATTTATAAACCTAACCTTCTTAACTAACTAATTGCAATTAGATAGTGTACCTAGTCAAATTATAGGATAGCTTAGGTAAGTCGGGTGTTGATCACAGGAACAAAATTTTAATTTAGAAAATAACTACTAATAATTAAAGTAAGAAATAACTTTAAATGGGGGGATTTTTACTGATTTTGCAGGTTCAACAACTTAACTCAAACAATTATCAATTAAACAAATATGAAAACTAAGCAAACAAAAAAAAGATTTTTAATTCAAGTTTAAAGAGTACTTCCGTTTAGTTTCGAATTCCCCTTCTCATATGGTTGATTTCTAGTGGATAAACTATATTGATTACCAATTCATTAGATTACTAGTTATCATGATCCGATACCTAGATTTGCCAATTTATGAATTACCATGCAATGATCAAGCACAAGTTAGACACAAAATTGATATAAGCACGAATTGGACTATGAACGATAAATCTATGAATTACATATCCTAGATCAAGACAAGCAACTCAAGCAAAAATTATGAATCAATTATGCTCTCTAACAAAATCAAAGTAGCTAACTTTTATTTACCTAACTCTAGGATTTGTTCAATCACTAAATCTAATTATTTAATGGTCATAAACAACTAGATAACAAATTAATGCATTTTGAATGATCATCTACTACACAAAACTTGTATAATAAGCATTATAAGCTAGAACATCAACATGCTAGGATTGTGATTATCAAACACTAGTAAAATCAACATAAAACATCTATAAATTCAAAATCAACACATAGGATACGGGTTCATCTTCACCAAATAGAAGTATATGGTGATTAGCCCACAACTAAAACAGAAACAAACATAAAATCAAAGCTAATTAGACTAGACATGGTTAAAGCTAGCAAACAGAATGATTAAATGTTGTTCTCCTTCTAAATCTCTTCGATGCTTGAACATCAAACAAATTCTGATCTTCCAAGAGTTCTCCAGGGGGTTTTAGTCGCAACTCTTAACTTAATTCCCAAGGTAACTCCCGAAATTCGACCTGAAATTGGTTGCCACGCCGTGGGAATTAGACCTCCACGCTGTGGTCCTCATTTAAAACGCCTACGCCCCAAGTCTCGATGACACACACAGGAAGGATGGCCACATCATGACATGCAATTGGCATGACTTTTTCTTTCTTCTTCTCTATTTTCAGCTTCAGTACTCCAAGTATCCAACTTTCTTCAATTTCAACTCATTTTCCTCGAGAATATCCTATTTGACTGCAACATACAATTTAATCATTATAGTACTAAATATCTTTGCATTTTATCAAAATATAGCTCAAATATATTAAAATAATGCTTAAATATATGTATAAATATGACAATATCAGGATGCTTTGAAATTACGGTTCTCAAAAATTTCATGAAGATTCTGTTTCTAACAAAATAACATCTCATTTTTACTTTTGGATTATTCATATAAACTTGAAACTAAAAGTTAACTTGATTGTTTGGCTTCATAACACAAATATTATCATTAACATTTTGCAATAGTCTATTTATTTATGTATTTTATGTTAGTTCCTGGCAAATAATTTAGTTGTTTTAAAAAAATATTGAATATTTTTCAATAAATTGTTTGTAACAAATAATGGTACCTTATATCAACTTAAGATAAACCAACCTCCCGGTTGATTGGGAGTATTTGATTTTTTGTTGGTGAAGATCACCAATAACTGTCGTCTTAGAAGCAACTAATATGATAACCTACTCATTATAGTTTAGATTAATTAAATTAGATAACGTTACATTTAAATTTAAAATAACATTTTTTTTACAGCTCGAAGCATACTTATTTAAGTCTGACTATTGTTCCTCAAAAAATTAAAATCAAATTTACAACATTCAACTGAGTTTTAAATTGTAATGTTTATATAATTCCTGAACTCGTTCAACTATTTCGGCCACCGATTGTTTCTTGGATAACATTTTGCAACCTGTAATCACGAACGAATGGTTTTTTATAGTAAAGTCCAAAACAAATCCTTAATCCCACGTCACAAGAAAAAAAATAAACGATTTTATCAAACATTTCTTTAAACCTTTTGATTTATATATATTTTTATGTATTTATTATTGTTAAATTACTAAATATTAATAACATTGTTCTGATCCATGACTATTTTTTTATCATATATTAACTAACTAGTTTATTTCAATCTTTTATATTGTCCGATAGAAAAAATACATACTAGCGTTTCAGAAAAAAAAAAATTAAAACAAAAAATCTCAACTATACAATATATTAATTTTTATCACTTCCTTTTCATTTTACGACTACATTTTGGGTTGTTAAGATTATATTTCCATCATTTTATATAGTTTTAATTTAGGGAAGTGATTCACAACATATTTTCTTCATACACAAAAATTTATGTTTTATATGATGATAAAGTATAATTTTGTCACAAAACAGAATATTTTGTTTTATTGTTTTTTTAACATTTAACATTTTTTTAGTCATTTTTCTGAGCTAGCTTATTGGTTAGTAACTTTTAGTAATGTTATGTGAAACATAGTCTAAAAGGGTTTTTAAGATATCAATTAGACCATACATATACAATATTATACAAAATGATGGTAAGAAGAGACTCTACACCAAGAAAGAACAAAATGATATATATGATTGTACGTAAGTACATTTTTGGAAATTATGCAGCAACAACAAAACTGCATTTGACAATTTACGAATGAACCCCTAGAACATGTATATGATCTACAAAAAAAAAGGCTAAATAATGATAAAATAAGGGGTTCATACTTAGCATTTCTGTTACATTTTTTGGTAAATAACACCTCGAATTTATGTATTTCCATCTGCAGATTTGTCATAATACACAACAATTAAAAAAAAATGAAAAACAATTCATTTAATAATATTAATATCCAGGAAAAAAGAGCTTACTTGTAATGAAGAATGTAACAAACATGATGAAGGATTAATTAAGGACTAATTTCCTCGCCTTCCATATCCTCAAGAATAACATATCTTGCAGGGGTAGTATCGTCAGATTTTGCTATTTTAGCTCCGCTTCTTGTTCTATTCTGGAACTTTTGGTACCTAGTATTTTTTTTAAAAAAAATAAATAAATTAAATTATTTTTGGTCAAAAAGGACATTTGAAATGACTTGAGAGGTTTTATGACTTACTTGTACCAGTTGAATAAACTCACACCAAACATGATTATGATGAGACCAGCTCCTTTTAACCATGTGAATTCATCATGAAAGTAAAATACAGCTACCTGAAAAATAATTATAAAACATTAAAATACTTTGTAATTAAATAAAACTGAGATATCAAATTAGTAATTACAACTAATGTTGGTGAAACCGTTGTTTGATTAGCAGTTTCTGGTTATAATTCATACATTAATTTACAAAAATGGTCCTTTACTTTCAGTATTTATCATATTTAGTCCAAAAATGAAACCTTTTTCAATCTTGGTCCTTATATTAAGGTTTCATATCGATTTTGGTCCCTGGGACTTTCTAGTTTTTGGTCCTTATTTCAAAGATTCCATGGACCAAAATTAAAAATGTTTTGATTTTGGACTAAACACTGTAAGAATCAGAAAGCAAAAACAGTTTCTGGTTATAACTTATAGAGTAAATTACAATAATGCTCCCTGTGCTTTCAGATTTTTATCGTGTTTAGTCCAAAAATCGATAAAAACATAGATTTTTTGTTCCTATGACTTTCTGATTTTGGTCCTTATTTCAAGGTTCCAAGGATCAAAATCGATAAAACATATAAATAAGGACCAAAATTGAAAAATGTTTCAGTTTTTGATTAAATACTGTAAAAAAAATCAAAAAGCACCAGGACCAGTTTTGTAATTTACTCAAATTCAAAACTGATCCAGATATTCTTATATTATGTTGATATGTATTTGATGTTTATAATCAGACTCTTTTGTGTTAAGATAATAAATCTATAAAGACACGCTTTGGTAGATGAGAATCATACAGAAAAGCACAACATACTTTTATCATTTTACAATTTAGCCACTAAACTATTTTCTGCAGTGATTAAGTCATTTTTTTTTACTTAAAAAGGTGTCAACTGTCAACTGTCATACCAGTATTGTGACAGCTTCCTTCACAACTCCAGCAATAGTCACTGTCACTGCACTTGTCATTGAAACAAGAATGTATTCTGTTAACACCTGCAAATATAAAACCATGCAAAGATTAATTATTATAATCACAAACAATTAGTCATATTATATTAAAAACAATTACCATAAAAAAGGCGAGAGTTCCCCCCAAAAGCATTAAGAGGCCACTTCGGGTGATATGCCATGGGCTATCAAAATAACTTGTCCTTCTGAATTCATCCCATGGATCCAAAATAAGAGAAAACAAAGCAGTTGCAACAGCCATTACTGGAGTTACAACACTCATCAGCACCAGTGGATTTTTCAAACCTGTTTGATATAGATAATATGTTACCAATTTGGTCCCTGAGTATAGTTGATTTTTGCAAATTTGGTCCCGGTAGGTTTTCTCTTGCAATTTTGGTCCTTATTTGAGGTTTTTGTAACGTTTTTAGTGTGTGTTCTAAGTAAAATGACTATTTTTGCTCCCTGCATATACATATTTTTGCAATTTTGGTCCTTATTTAAGGTTCTTGCAACGTTTTTAGAATATGTTCCATGTAAAATGACCATCTTTGGTCCCTGAGTATAACTGATTTTTGCAATTTTGGTCCCAAGAATATAGCCATGGAAAAGGGACTAAGAACGTTACAATAACCTTAAATAAGGACCAAAATTGAAAGAGAACTATTTGGGACCAAAATCGCAAAAATAAACTATAATCAGGGACCAAAAATGTAATTTACTCTAAAGTTAATTATGTAGACAACTGCTTACCATAGACTTCTTTCTGTAGGTTCCACAGGTGTCAGAGTTAACCAATTGGTTTTTTTTTCCAGCCCAGAAAGATAAAATATAATATTAGTACAAATTTATAGAAAAAAAGGTAGGAGATAAATATTTCAGAAACTATTTTTTTGTAAATTAAAATACCTGAAGAAGGATCTGAGTCATGCTCCAACGAAAACCAGACATAACAGCAGCAAGCATGACAAATATAAAACCCCAAAATTCAAATGCAGTCTCTTTTGCAACTGCAAAAGTATATTAAAAAAAATATCCATATAAGCAATCTACAAAACTAAATAAGAAATTGTGCAATGGATTATTATTTATTATACCTGTTAATAAAATCCCAACAGATATTATTAAAATAATGCCTAGAAGTTTGACACTTGGAGTCTCCAACCTACACAGTAAATCCCAACAGATACTATTAAAATAATGCCTAAAATAAGAGCTTGTTCAAAAAGAAGACAACCCCAAATTGAAGTAAATAATAGTACCTGAATGCAAAGGCGAATATCAAAAGAAATATTGGAGATGCAGATTTGCACTGCAAACAAAGAAAAAAGATTTAAAACTGATAAAAAAAGGTAAGTTGAGTTGACTAATATGAATGGAGAGAGTTGACCAACCATGGTGGCAAATGTAACAGAGATGAAAACAAGGGATGCATTGCTCAAGTTGATATCCAGTGCAGTTGCAAGAGATGTGGGTACAACTGTGAAAGGCAAAGTCCATCTGTAGCATTAGTTATTATTTATTAGAAAAGTTAATAAAAAGTAACAACATGTATGAAGAACTAGAGCTATAAATACATCTATGATATCAACAGCAATGGGATGTATAATGTATTTGTTTTTTTATGAATGTTTACCTCTCACAAAGTAGTCCTTCTGTGACATAGGTACAGAAGGTTCAAATCTTTTAGACCAAAAGTATGTGATACCCTTTGACAAAATAGCTTGCATTGCAAAATGAACTGTGTTCATCAATAAAGGAGCAGGGAATCTTCCCATATCATCTCCAAGTAGAGTCTTATTATACCTATTAACATTGAGAAACGCAATCTAAAACTGTAGATCAAGATGAAATCATGAAATAGATATTGCAAATAAGAAAAGAAGACTTACAGGGTCAATAATGTACTGAAAATGTACCACATGAGTATGAAAAACAATGTCTTGAGTATATCAGAAACAGCAATGGGATTCCTGGAGCTTGATGAAACAGCCATATATGTTTCAACAAAATCGGTATCTTCAGGATCTAGCATTCTATTGTCAGCAATTTCAATATCAAAAGAAGAATAGTTCCGATTTTTGTTTCCTCTTCTGGGACTAGGAGCAGGAAACATATCTATACTGCCACTTCTATTCATCTTTACACCCCTCAATTCACTACTCTGTTCTTCATCAACTTTTTGAAGCACTGGTAGTTCAAAATTGTCGTCCACTTCATTTGTATTTACAATCTCATCCTCTTGTACACGATTCTGATTGTATATCCCATCTTTGTCGCCCCAATTAGAGAATGAAGGGTCCCTATGGAATCCGAATCCTTCCTCATGAGCAATTTTCTGGGTGTTTAAATCACTCTCTACCATTTTGTTCCTGAATTGTGGTCGAAGCCATCTAAACTCCAACCCCCATGGTTAACCAATATCACCGAACAGAACTAGCACATGAATAGAAAACTCCACTACAATTTGATTGTATCAAGTTTGACCTAAGTCATAAAGTTCTGAAGTCCAACTGATCAAAGTTCCCGAAAATTACCTGCTCTGATCAAATTTAACAAGACATTCAAAATCTAGCTCATAAAATCCAATTTGCAACAAACATTAAAGCTCACGATATATTGCCTACTTTTAATTGCATTGAAAACCCAATTTTATAAAGTATTGTTGATGCAAATATGGCAAAAAAATCATTGAGACACGTACCTCGGTAAGCTTCTTGATTGAATCTAATTGCAATAAGGTATAGATGATTCAAAAGAATTCAAACACGATGCAATTCGCTGACGTTGCGTTTCAGAAACGTAGATCTTATGAAGATTCAAACGACGAAATAGACACAGAGATCTGTAATATAAAAATTATACGGTGAACAACACAAATGGTCCCTAAACTATTGCACCATATGCATTCCGGTCCACTTAGCTTTAAGATCGGAATAAATTACACTTTTTTTATTATCCTTTTTAAACTAAACACTAAACAATATTTGAAATTAAATAGTAACACTGCGTTTAGTTACGGAAAAATAAAAAATCGAAAAAATAAAAAATAGATTGTTTTTTAGAAAAAAAATCAAGAAAAAATTAGAATTTTAAAAACACGTTTGGTTCAACAATTTTTCTAAATTTTTTACGGAAAATGATTTTTTTTTTCCAAAATTAAAAACTTAGAAAATTTTAGAAAACCAATAATTATTGTTCTTCATATTTTTCTAATTCAAAACAAATTTTAAAATATAAAAACACCTACCCCACACCACCCACTCCTAACCACCACTGGCACCATTGTCGTCCCCCATATTTTATTTCATTTTTACATGTTTTTCACAATATGGTAATAAAACTTTATTTTTTTACTATGTTTTTACATGTTTTTCACAAATTATTTTTAAAAGTTCATTTTTTATCTTTTACATGTTTTTTTCATAGTTCGTTTTTACGACTTTATTTTTATATAACATCTTTCAAACACACTTATTATTCTACTTCAAAATCTACACAACTTTGGCCGAAGAGCATCTATCTATCAATTCTTGATACATTTAGGCCAAAGACTCATTGGTAACTTCATTTTTATTTCATTCTTATATGTTTTTCACAATTATTTTTACATCTTTATATCCTTTTACATGTTTATCACTATTTGTTGCCATACCCCCTACTTTAATTTAGCCACCGAGTTACATGAAATGATATTGTAAATATATTTTTTAAGAAAATATGTAGAAATAAAGTAAAAAGATTATGAAAACACATATAAATACAAAAGAAAAAACACATTATCACCGGATCATAAGAACCAAATTGACTAGAAACAAATTTAGTTGTAAATATTATATAAAATTTAATGAATAAAAAATTACAAATATAATACTTTAGTGTCTAACTTCAACATTAATCATTTTTTATGAAAAAGGAGTAGTTGTAAATATTATATAAAATTTAATGAATAAAAAATTACAAATATAATACTTTAGTGCCTAACTTCAACATTAATCATTTTTTATGAAAAAGGAGTATATATAATGACTATTCATAATACTCTTAAAGATTATATACAATTATATTTGAAAAATATTTTTGAGATGTTCTAAGAAAACTGTTATCATAAAACCAGTAAAATGGTTTTAGTAAAATGGTTTTAATGTTGAAAAAAATAGTATATTAAATCTAATAAAACTTCTTGTTTATGATACTTGTATATTTTATATCAAATTATATGAAATTTTTTATTGAAAAAAAAGGAAAAAAACTAACATACTATCAGTTAATGCTTGAAACTCATTGTGTTACATTTTAGTTATTAAACCCTTTTATTTTAGAGTAAATTACACGAATGGTCTCTATGGTTTGGGGTAATTTGCGTGCTTGGTCCCTTATTTTTTAACTTGGAAGGTCCTTACTGTTTGTTTTTGTTACGCGCTTGGTCCCTACTGTTTGTTTTTATTACGTGCTTGGTCCCTGTCTTACGTAAAAAAAACTATTATTTAAATAGGGAAAATGATGGGTAGGTAAGATAAAGTGAAAGGGTGGGGTTGGGGGTGTGTTTTTTAAATAAATTAAAAAATCAATGGTAAAATAGTCTTTTTAGGTTAGATAGGGACCAAGTGCGTAACAAAAACAAACAGTAGGGACCTTCCGAGTTAAAAAAATAAGTTAGGGACCAAACGTGCAAATTACCCTTAACCATAGGGACCAGTCGTGTAATTCACTCTTTATTTTAGGATATTGTAAATTAATGGTTTATGACTATTTTATAATAATGTATTTTTATTAAAATTATAATATAACAATGTATTTTCATTCAAAAAATGTCTATTAAAACAAATATAATGACCTTATACATGTTGCTCTTAAAATATATTTAAAAAAAATAAAATAAAATAAAAATTAAAAAAAAACTTACATGGTCATGAAGTATTATTTTGGGCAAGGTCATATGATTTTTATAAACAAAATAATAAAATAATAGCTTTTTGAGAATTTTATATAATACATTGGTAGAGGTGGAAACTTTTTAGACAGGATGTATTGGGTTTAAATCCGGACATAAACGAATTAACTAACTTGGTTAATTTAACATCTAATCACTAACCAGCTGTTAAAAAAAATTCTTTTATTATGTAATTTCTTCCAAATGTTCAAACACATAACAAAAATACATCTAAAAATAAAAAAATAATAATAAAAAAATAATATAGATAGAAATATTAAACAAAGAAATATATATAAAAAATAAAATAAAATGCCACGGTGTTTAAATCGGACCCCTCCTCCGATGGTTGTTCTTTTTCCTCGGACACGCTCCCTCCACGAGACGAAAAATGCTATCTTCAGTACAAAACCCTCGCATCCTCCTCCTCCACTGCCGGTGGTCTAAACCTCTCCACCACCACCACCGCCATTATCCCAAAGCCATCCACGCCGCCGCTCAAGCTCAGGCCATTTCTACATCATCCCCCACCTCTCAAATCCAAATTATCCAAAAATCCATCCATTCCCGGGAGAAAACAGCCCGCCAATTTGCCGAAGAGTTTATCAACCGTCTCCGCCTTACCGAACCCCATGTCAAGAGCTTCCTTCACGTCTCAGAAACCGTTTTAAACGAAGCAGATGAAATTGACCGGAAAATTGATCGAAACGAGGATGTGGGACCTCTCGCCGGAGTATTGGTTGCTGTCAAAGACAACATTTGTACCGCCGACATGCCTTCCACTGCTGGATCTAAAATATTGGAAAATTATCGACCGCCATTTGATGCGACTGCTGTTAGGAAGTTGAAGGAGAGTGGCGCCATTATCGTTGGGAAAACTAATTTGGATGAATTCGGAATGGGAAGTACTACTGAAGGATCAGCTTACCAGGTTAGATTACAAATTTCTTTCCAATTTCTCCAGTTCTTCTACCAAATTGCCATCAATTTATCCATTTTGATACAAATTAGGTCACTGCAAATCCTTGGAACCTTGAATGTGTACCAGGGGGGTCATCAGGAGGCTCAGCTGCAGCTGTTTCCGCTAGACAATGTGTAGTATCGTTAGGAAGTGATACAGGTGGAAGTGTCAGACAACCTGCATCATTTTGTGGTGTCGTAGGCTTAAAACCAACATATGGTCGTGTCTCAAGATTTGGACTAGTGGCATATGCATCATCGCTTGATGTCATCGGATGCTTTGGCTCATCGGTTGCTGATGCTGGCATCCTTCTTCAATCAGTCTGTGGCCATGATAAACTCGATGCCACTAGTAGCAAACGGGTGTGTTTCTTTTGCCCTTGGTTTTATCTTGAAATTACAATATTGCCATAACTTTGTGAAAATCTATGTCTTCAGGAGGTTATTGACTTCACATCTCAGTTTGTTGCCAAAGATTATCTTGAATCACAGCCCTTGAAAGGACTAAGAGTTGGTGTGATTCGTGAAACTCTTGGTGATGGAGTTGATCAAGAAGTAGTTTTATCTATTCGTGGTGCTATTTCTCATATGGAAGAATTGGGATGTATAGTGACAGAGGTTCCCATTTTATTTTAAAGTCATTTAGGTCACTGGACATGACAATTCAGTGTTTAGACTAATGTCCATGGGACAAAAGTTGCAATTTTTTGTCAATGTAAAAGACGTAAATGCCCTTCTCATGTTCATCATCAATACATGTAGTGGTTTAACTTTCCTTTTTTTCTATTTGATAATGGATATCAGGTGTCATTACCTTCTTTCTCTCTGGGATTACCAGCATACTATGTTCTTGCTTCATCCGAATCTTCTTCAAACTTGTCTCGTTATGATGGTATTAGGTAATATATAAAATCTTGTTTTTCTTCAAATGTAGATATGAAACCTGTTATTTAAGAAATAACATTACAATAATGCTAGATGAACAAGTTTATATGACTATTAAAAATATAAAGATTGGTAACATGATACACCCTTTTTTTTTTTTTTAATTTCCAGGTATGGCAACCAAATTGTTTCTGATGAGCTAAGTTCCCTTTATGGAGGTTCTCGTGCTAATGGCTTAGGTCCAGAGGTATGAAAGGAAAACTTGATGATAAAGGGCAAATTTGTAAAATGTTAGGATTTAAATAAAGTTAATATTTTTCAGGTAAAAAGGAGGATTTTGATGGGGACGTATGCCCTTTCAGCAGGTTATTATGATGCCTATTACAAGCGAGCTCAGCAGGTAACTTTACTTGGTGTTGTGTTTGTTACACAAGCTTTCTAGGGTTATTTTTTTTATGATGAGAACGACAAGGGCAATTATGTCTTTTTCACATACAAGAAATCATTGAGTAAACAGTAAACAGTAAATTATGGTGATTTAGGTGAGAACTGTAGTCCAGAAAAGCTTCAAGGCAGCATTAGATGAACATGATATTCTAATTTCACCTGCAGCTCCATCGGCAGCATATAAAATCGGTAATTTTCCACATCATCATTTTGTGTCTTGATGTGAAAACAATCATCTCAAATCATAACCAGTGTTTGTTAATTTATTTGTTATATTTGTATTATTTATAGGTGAAAAGAAAAATGATCCTTTGGCAATGTATGCAGGGGATATTATGACTGTAAGTCTTTCTATGTTTCTTAAATGCTACCTTTTGTTCCTTTTGTGTTATTCTTAATGCAATAAGTTGTTTTTTTTTTTTTCTGAATATTATTTTGACTTTTTTGTTTTCATTTGTGAAATTGCAGGTGAATGTCAACTTGGCTGGATTGCCTGCATTGGTTTTGCCATGTGGATTTGTCCAAAATGGCCTTCCTGTTGGTGTTCAAATGATAGGGGCTGCTTTTGATGAGGTGGGAATAATTTCTTGATATATAAAGTTTGTTACTTTTCTAGACAGGTTTAGACTAAATGACCATTTTACCCTAACATTCTGAAAAATAAATTTTATAATATTCATCAATCTTTTTTTTTAATAGAAATGCTGTTTATATTACTGGATTTTTGCAGGAAAAATTGCTGAGAGTGGGCCATATCTTTGAACAAACGCTTCAAGGTTGCTCCTTTATCCCACCATTGATAGCAGATGAATTTAAATTCTAGAAAAATTGATCATAATATAAGTCATGAATTGTCTTATTTTTTTTTGGTGAATTATGAGTTAGAATGATAGTCTCAGAAAAAGGGTATCAAAAGGTAGTAGTAATATTCTTGTAGTCAATTTGCTTTGAACTCAGATTCTTTTGCTGAATAAACTATGTGTTCATTCATAAGTTGGAGTTAGAAGATATGTTTTTTGATGTGATGTTTTTAGTGTGTACTTGAAATGGACAAAAGTCAGTGTAAGAATAACATACACAACAAAACATAAATGAATGTCATCTGTAAGATATAACACGAGACTCATTTATTATTGTCATTTGTAGTTTCTTTTTCATATGACTTTTTATATACAACTAGAAGGTTTTCCCATGCGTTGCACGGGGTGGAAGGTGTTTTTTTATACATCTTTTGTGTCTCAATGATTGAATGTTTTGATGTTCTTCTACACCTAAGAAAATAGAAGTATTTAGGAGATGTATTTGCAAAGAAAATGTCTATGTTCTTTATGTATCTTAAATAACGGTTGTGATCCTATAGTACCACAATTATTGAACAGAAGAAGCATCATGGAGAAAATGACAAATTGCAGGAAATAGCAATGTATCTTATTCTTTTTACCAAAAACTTTTACCAAATTTTAAGGTTTCAGCAGAAAAATCGATTGCTTCATGCAATACAACAGTCATGTCAGCCTCTTTGCATAGTTGCTCTAAGTCTGCCCTCTTTTTCAGAGGAGTGTTTCCATTATCATGCTTGCTTTCCTTTTTTGTAGAATCTTGAAAAAAAACACAGCATTATAGTATATTGACAAATTGAATTATATAATATAATTATTTAATTACTACAAAAATATTTTGTCCAATTAAATGTACTCATGGAATTAATGTATTCTAAAGAGAGAGCATTAGGTTTTGTGACTTCATTTTAGCACATATATACCCCGCCATAAAATCTTTGTTCTAACATATACAACATATACAACAGGGAGACTCGCACAACATCTGCATCTATTAATCAATGAAATGAAGTATTAAACACATGAATAAGGTCAGCAAGTTTCACTGACTCTTAACCCAAGACAAATGGAAAGGCACGTTGTCTCTGAACTACGTCGAAGATGAAGTAGCCTGAAAATACTCCTCGAAACACAACCCGATAACAAGACAGGGAGTCCTCTTGTCAAAGCAAACCCAGTAGTTGTCTATCCGAATAGAAACTCCTCCACGTCACCGAGGTAACCTCCTTGCACATAAGGTAATGACATAGTAATGTGTGACATTCTACACCCATCGGCAAGTTAACATATCAACCAAAACAGGAAGCCCTAAACATGGCCGCACGTTCGGGAGGTGTAAACGGGCCATGATTTCCCTGCCGACTTTAGGTTTGCAAGTTGCAGTGACTATTGTTTCATATATTCTGTCATGCTACAATGAAAGGAATTTAAATTAGGCAAGTACTACATGTTCCAAAGTAAAAGGACAACGTTCCGGACACCATTCCAGACTATAATGGATATGTTCTGGATACTATTCCGGACTATATTCCGGAACAGTTCTAGACATTTTGGAGATTACATATTTCATAGATGTTCTATGCGTTCCGGATTAGTTTAGCATATTCCCAAAAACAAAAAACAAAAAAAAAAAACCTTAAAATTAAATAACCAATCACAATCGCCCATATAGGGCTATATCGATGGGTTAGTTTTGTTATTAGTTGGGCACAGGGTTCGCATGCGATACAACGAGCGACCTATCCAATACGGCAATACCGATATTGCCCTTGGAAACGCGTGGTGTCGACGGTGGAGATTGGGTAAGAGCCGGCCTTGAGATTTCGAAACAATATCTGCTGGAAAAAGAAAGCCAACTACCTTCTATCTGCTTCTTCTGTCGCCGATGTTGATGTCTCGTAGCAATTGCTGACGACGCCTCTGAAGATTTCGATCTTTCCGATCGTCTTTAATTTTTCATCTGATTTAAGGATTTTCATCGGAACAGCGTTGATCCTTCGATCTCCGATCGTCGTCTCCGGCGGCCACAGGTGATCCTCAGTAAACGTTTTCCTATCCAGTTGAGCTGGGAATTTGATTAATTTCATTCGTAACAATTTATTTACTTGTTACCCCTTCCAGAAAGGTAAAGGTCTACGAAGATCGGCAAATCCATCTAAAGCTATATGCGTCTTACGTTTTTAACCCTATAAATATCCATATTCAATATTTTCTGAATAGAGCAGGTTAATAGTACGTAATTGATGAAGAGGCATCTCTTTCTGTTACTAATTAACCCTATTTCTTTGGATGTAATTTTATGTTGGTTTAGTCTTCAAGTTAAGTGTACGACGTGTCGACGTCCTTATTTGAGTGCAAAAGAAGTTATGGAGATAATTCTTGACAAGAGTTATTTAAAGGCAATTTGGGACACAAAGTATATCGACTGAAGAAGACTTGCAATCGATAGTATCAGAGTTCTACATAAAATACTATAGAAAATAAAATAAGTATAGATGTTTAAATGTTTTTCAAGTAAGGTACACACTCATACAAAAATGACAAAATGACAAATATCTGTCTACACAATAACCCATAGTAACTGCAACAATTTCATTCTCAGATCAAATAAATGCAACATTTTGGTTTTTGTTCATAATTCAAATGTTGGATCTCATTGTGTTCTGAAAAAACTTACAACTGCTTTCTGCAGGGCTGTACTCCAATGATGAAATCAAGACACTACACAATAGAAGAATGGGATACAAAGCCAATAAGAAAAATCCCTTCTTTGGTTGATCTTTGTGTTCAGAAAGCTGTAGACAATGTTAGGTACTTAGGGGATGTGGGAGAAACAGACTTCCATCTTCTAGAACGTTTTTTACCACATTGTACTGTTGAGCAGTTGATGCATATCGAGGATTCAACTGAGGTATAATGAATATTTTCAACATTGTTTTTACTTAAGCAACAAATTGTGTTTGAATTTTAAGAAATCAACATGTTTTATGTTGTGTAGGATCGAGATCTTAGCCCAGTTACTGATAAGCTATGGAAGAACTTTTATGTGTTACAGTTTGGTGCTAACAGCACCAATGTTGTAGTTGAGAGAATGAAAGAGAAGAGAGTTTCATTTAAATGGAGACAATTGTATGAGGTGATTTTTTTTCTCTCTCTCTCTTTAACTTCACTATTCAGAATGATACAATCATACAAATATCAGTAGAATTTTGTCCAAATGATATGATGATTGTGTGTTATTATATAAAATGGCACTGATACAATTACCTTGCTCAATTTGCAGGCGAAGGTAAAGGATAATGAGGAGGCACAACAAAAGTCATTTGAGCGAATAAAGCAACTATATAAAAAAGAAAATGCTAGTAAGTTATTCATTTACTATTATGATTGGAGAACTTCTGTTGGTTACCTTTTTTTTCTCTATGTTTATTTGATTTTGTTTCTCTTAATGCTAAATTTTGTTTTAAGTAGTAAACTTTGAAGGTGCAACCTCTTACAACATATTTATTTGCTAACTTGGGAACCTGTGTGCTTGTTAAATTCAAATATGCTTTTGTGCAATTTATGAAGTTACTTATAACTGTGTATCTACACATACCGGTGATTTTTACATGTCTCTACCTTTGATACTAACATATAAAAATGGTTTAAAAAATCTTAAAACTTTTGGCACAAAGTTGATATCTGTTATGCTTGGGTAATTCGGTGATTTGTTATCTATAATGTGAATATTTTATGATTATCATAGACTAAATCTAGTAGAAATCTATGGAAAGTAAATGACTTTTTTTCTTTAGTTATAAAGATAGAACGACCTGTAGATTGAAAAATTGGTAGATTTTGTCTTACTTACACAAATTGTTATAATTTTAGCAGCCTATGGTAATATATAATCTTATGGGGTATACCGATATATTATTCTCCTCTTGATATGAAGAAGCTGGGATCAATGTTGAAGTCTGCTAGATATATAAGACAACTTTGTAATCAGTTTGTACTTGTTAGGATTCCTTACATCCATGGGCATTTTGCACATAGCCTTCATTTTTAGGGTTGTTTGACTTTGCAAAACCCATGTGGCTTTTAGGATGACTAATAACTGAGAGGCTCTAGGATTTTTGTTTAAAAGGCTTTTAGTGCCCATCATTGAAGATGAACAATTTATAAGGTTTGCACTCCCTCATGCTTTGTGATGAATTGATGATAATTCTCTTTTGCAATCAATTGACGATAATTCTCTCGGCTATGCATTACATTATGCTAGTCAAGGCAAGCGGTGCTTCTTGATTATGCTCTTGTATGTAGCTGAAAGGAAGCATGATTTCACGTAGCTAGCATATTTTCCTTAATGAACTTTTCAACCCTAGCATAAAATGTGCATTGAGTGCATTTGGATGCTTGGTTAGTTTGAATTGTTTGTCTAGGGTGTGTAGTGAAAGAACATACACTATTATTGTCTTCATGAGCTAAAGATTGGAACTCCTTTGAAGAACCAATTTTTAATCGATGTAGCCATGAATAAAGTCTTCCATGAAAGAACCAATCACATTAAGGATGATTTGTTAGGGAGGGGAGTGCATTATTTGCACATGAGCTTCCAAATTCTTGACCAAGCATTTCGAGAACGAACCTTGGATAGACTTCACATGCAACAAGTTTGTGATGATTGACATCTATCCTTCGACTTGAAGACGTATGTTAGATATATTTGATAGTGAACTAGATATATATAGTCGGGATGAGTGGTGAATTATTTTCCATTTATAGTCGGGACTACTGTCTTTTTCGATGTACAATGTACTTTATGTATTTTGTTTCGAGTAACTTCATTAATAGACACGGATGTTACAACCCTAATTTTCACAAGTCAACTTCTTGCTTACTTTGCGTAACTATAAGTAAACATGGTGGTGATGATTTGTGTTGGAGGTGTGCATGTGGCACAATAGTTGATTAAAACATAGAGTTGATGCAAGAGTGACGTTTAAGGACATAGGTCTTCTTAAGGTGCTATCTCTTTTGTTTACTTTCCATCTCATCCTTGCAGATTGCTTTCCCTCCCGCTTACTATCATCTTAATATCTTTTCAAAATCAAATCACCATTCTCGTATGCTTTCTCTTTCTCTTTCTCTCCCAAAAGCAAATCAGAGATTGGTAGATTTTAATATTCTATAATTTCAACAATGTCATTATCATATGCATTGATAATCTGCTACTTCACGTTGATTTATGATGGTTCACTTTGAGTCACGATGGTCTATTGTTCAAGATAAATCACGATGGTTCAAGATGGTTTGCCATGACCACCCTTTGATATTTTATTTTGTTTGCAGGTTACTTTGTAGGAGGTCAAACTATATGTTGCTTATAATGCTGTTTGGGAATAAGAAGGATTGTGTTGGAGATTCAAGAAAACCAAGGTTTTACTATCTTCATATCCAAGGACGTAATGTATTGTCATTTGTCCAAGGATTTGGGCATTGAAAGAAAAGTTTCGTTTGTGCGACTCATGCTTAAAAAGATGCACATGTTGATTAGGATATCCCTAAGTAAAGTTGGAAATCATATAATCCCTACTTAGCAAACCGATCCTATTGATGAGTATCTTCTTAAAACCATTAAGTACTAGGTGTTTGAGTTGTGAAGTTTGATAGTTGCCAAATGGACTTGAGCTCTGCCATGATGGTGGGAGTTGAGGAGCAAGCACAATGTCTTAGTTAGCACCATTACAATAGTGTGTGAATTACGTAAATTCTTGTGTTCTTTCTCTTCTCATACTTTAATCCGAGTATGTTGAGAGTATGTTGAGTGTGTTGATCATTCGTTTTCCTAACAACCATTAATGATGGTAGAAGATGGGAAAGTTAAGATTGACAACTTTGATGGCCATGTTTTTGGTTTTTGAAAGTTGCAAATTGAGGATTATATTATACGAGAAAAAGATGCATGAATTACTATCATAATAGAAAACTAGGAAGATGGAGCAAGATGATTAGGATTAGATTGTCTGGGACTTGGTTTGATGAAAAAACATTACTTACAACACCTTCAACAAGAGGACCATGTGTAGACTTATCAAGGCATTGTCCAATATGTATGAAAAATCCTCTGTTTCGAATATAGTTTTCTTCGTCAGAATGTTGGTCAACACGAAGTTGAAAGAAGGTATGTTTGTTACAAACCTTGTTATTCAATTTAATGCAATTTTATCCCCGTTAGACTCGGTTGATATTGAATTTGTTGATGAAGTACAAGCATTTTTATTATTATCTTTGTTGCCTAGAGTTGGTATGTCAATGTTGCATAAGTTAGTAGTTAATCTAGGATGACTAGACTTATATTTGAAGGAATCCATGATTTGATCATCGAATAAGATATTTGTAAGAACTTTGGTGAGTAAACCGAGTTCAATGTAAATGGCAAGGGTAGGGAATTTGAGATAGGGTAGAGTAATGGTAAAGGCAAAGCAAGATTTAGTAAAAGAGGTCAATCAAAAGAATAGGAATGATTTGAGTTTTGACATGTTGGAGATGCAAGCAAATCGATCTCTTTAGAGACCAATGCACAATACCTACATCTGACACAAAGGGTAGAAAGAGGTGAATGGCGTAGTTAGTAGGGTTGATTATGCTATGATTAGCTGTTTAGAATGCCCAACTAAATCCAGATGGATTCATTCCACATCACCCCATGCTCGGAGACGATATAGACTTTCCAAGCATGTTAGTGGTAAAGTTTGGGTAGCTGATAATAAGACACTTTGGTATTATGGGCATCAGGGATGTTTTCATGTTTTCTTTTGGTAAGAACGTTAAAGAATGTTATGGGCATAAGGGACATTAAAGAGTGTCGGGTATAGCCAAATATTAAGAGAATACTTATTCAAGTTGAGACAATTAGAAGATGTAGAACATCATGGGGCTTTGACGATCACTCATGGAAAATGAAAATGGAAATCTAGTTTTTGCTTGTGGTCATAAACAAGGAACATTATATTATATATGGTTTAATTACTTCATGTACCTACCGATAGAGCAAATGAAACTATCAAGGACGTGGGTGTATTTTCTATGTCGCACCAAAGACATGTGCATATGAGTGAAGCATATGAAGATGTTGGTTACAAAAGGCAAGATTCCGGATCTAAGAATGTATATTGGTTTCCATGAGCCATGATCACTCGACTAAATACAATATTACTTTGACAAATATGGGAACGTCACCCAAGGCAGGGTTTGAAGCAGGTTCATGTCGATGTAGTTGACAAATAAGAGGACCACGGTACTATGTAACTTAATTCCTTAAAAAAATGAATGGGTTATACTCTGAAAACGTAATAAGATGCTTTCATTACCTTTAAAAAGTGGAAAGTTGTTGAAACTAAGACAAACTCAAAAATCAAGTGTTTGAAGTCTTATAACGGAGGTGGATACAACAAATTTATTCTTGTGATAAAGAATGGAATCAAGATGTTGAATACAGTCCGAGAAACCCTCAGCAGATGGAGTTGTCGAAAGAACGAATAGAAAACACAGAGTATGAGACTTCATGCAGGGTTGTTTAAGGGCAGATTCAGTACCAAGGTTCTAAAAGGCATGAGGTGTGGCATGACGGCAAGGCCAAGCCTCAAGCTTTATGAGCCATGACGTTTTTCAAGGTGCGATGTAAGGCGGTGATTTTGTATTAATTTATAATTATTTTACCACACATATATATATATATATATATATATATATATATATATATAAACCAGTTTTTAGAAGTGTTATATCAACAACTAATAACAAAAAGTTAACAAAAAACACAATACTTGTATGCCTGATCAGAAAAGGCATAACAAAGAGCAAATAAATATGCCTCAAACGAAAAAACCTACGCCATAACACGTCATATGACGCCTTGCCACGTGCCACGCCTAACAGCAACACCTTGAGTTTTTTTGTAACAGCGGAGTCGTGCCTCACGTCATGGCACGCCTTTTAGAACACCGGATAGCACAATAACTTACCTTGGGCACCCTCGGTTTTATTATTAGGGTTTCAGATGCCAGAAGAAGGATGACAAGGCAGGGAGGTAAATCTTTCACACCAAAGAGTTTTTGGTTGTGTTTCTTAAATAAAATTTAAAGATATTTACCAGGAAAGATTTATAGAGTATGGTTGAAATGAACCAAGTACAAGGTTCATTAGAAGCCAATACATCACCTTCATTTAGGACCTACTTTACAAAGAAAATCTTGCAGCATATTTCGAAAGAAAGAACCCAATTCGAAAATAGCATATGTTGCATTTAAAGACATCATAGAGAATAACCTTGCTCGTCCTACTAGATTTTTAGAGTTGGGAGAAAGTTTAGAAAACCAAAACCATTCTTTAGCCTTATAGATATACGTTTCATTTAAGATGAATTTTATTATTTATGTTGTTTGGTGCGATATATTGTTTAAACTGTCATTTTTTATATTCTTCACCATTCTTATTTCTTATGTTATTATGAACGACAGAGAAGCAAAGTCGACAGGTTCAACTGTGCACCAAGGTGCCACCCTCCACCAACAAAAGGGGTTTTTGGGGAGGTACCATGATTCCATTTCCATATACAACTCTATTAAATTTTATTATTAATTAGTTTTACATAATTTAATTAAATTGGTAGTTAGTTTGCTGACATGTCTTCAAGTGTAGGAGGCCCTAGTAGTAACATTGGCAATACAAAGAGTGGCATCATGAAGAAGGCTAAACTAGAATTCCTTAACAGGTACTTACTCTGTTCAATTTTCTATAAAGAAAATAAACTTTTTTAAAAAAAAAAAAAATTTGTTTGCCTTCTTTTCATCGGTTTTTGTTTTTTTTTTTTTTTTGTAACAGCCGAGAGGTGAAAAACCTATCAGCTATGAAGAAAACCAACTTTCAAAACAACCAAAGGTATACCATTGTAGTTGATTAATTAAAACCTTTGTGGATCTTGTAAAAAAAGCATTGTTGAATTTTTATTTTTTATGATATAGGGTTTCTCCTATTATAAAGAAACCAAGTCATTTTCCTGGAAAGTCTTCTTCTACTCCTTCAAGTTCCAAATTTAGTACAGCAACATCAACAGCAAGAAGATTTTGAAGAGCCTTTTCATGTTTGGTTTTGAATAAGGTTGTGTATCTCAATTTGTTACAGAATGTTTCAAATGTTGATAAAAATCTTTTCCATTTTCTTATAAATGTTGTATGCTACTGCTGACCTGTCAACAAGTATGTTATCACTTTCTGCATCCCAAAGTTTCACCTTTTAAAGATAACGTGCATATTGATGTTTTGCTTGCAATTAGAAATAGTTTGTGTTTATTTCCAAGTATTATCAGGTGAGTTAGAAGGATTTAAATTTACAATTCATATTGGTGTTTGTGTATGTTTGTGATAAGTGAATTTATCTGGTTCTTAATGATTTCTATGTGATTCTATGAATCTTATGTAGAGTTATTATTTGATGACTAATTATGTTAATCTTGAATCTATGTCAATGCATGATTCTTATGACAATTATGTATTTAATTTTTTTCGATGATGGAAATGTGCAATAAATGAGTTGATGTGTTTTTCTCATCTTGATTGAATCTACCCCTTTGTAGGTTTTGTCGGTGATTTTAGTGTCAACCATGTTATGTTATTTTAGTATAATGAAATTTATAGATTACTAACGGAGTTCTTATCTTGATTTAAGACAAGTTAGGATGTACATACTTGTATAAAATGAGTTTGATTTCGGGTCAACCAAAAGGCGAAGATCAAGGGGATAATCTCTCCTTACAGGATGGGCATTTAATGCCGATTGATATTATCTTTAATAATCAGAAGATATTAATATCTATAAAACCCTAGTTTGTGGATTCATATCAATATCAGTGTCTTGATACGACTGTTCCTTAAAAGATTATCCCCATAGTTTTGATTCCAGATTCTATGTAACCGACATATGGTCGAAATGTGTAGATTAAAAAAGTGATCAGATGATCCTTCAAGCAGGATCTTTGCAATCGATTTTAGAAAGAAAAAAAATAGAATTTTCCTCCCAACCAACCCTGGCTGATTTATCATTTCAATTTATATACAAAAATGTGTGATTTTATTTCACTTTTATATACAAAAATGTGTGAAAGTATTTGAACTTGCTTATGTGAATGATCAACTAGTTAATTAAATGTACTATCTTGACTAAGAATGCGACTTATTTAAAAGTCCTTGAATATAACAAAATATACTATGTGGAGAAATCTAAGTCCAATTTTTGTAAACAGGTAGTTTGACAATGCTTGAAATTTCATAAATGAACTAAACTTTTATCTAAATTCATAGAATTTTTTGATAGGAGTTTATTTGTTTGTTGATTACCTGAAAAATTCTTGATGAAGTTACATGACTAAATGCAAGCAAATTGTATCATGTCGAATTGGTCATAACTTGAATATCTTCCGATAATATTTGTTTCTTAGAAATATTATTTGTTCTCATGTAAACTTGTTTATCTTGTAGCCTTAAGGTTTTTATATATATATATATATATATATATATATATATATATATATATATATATATATATATATGTCACATTCAAACAATCCTAAAGGTGCTTTTATTGGCGATTGTTAAAACAACCGAATATTACTAGAATCCATATCATCATATCATGACATAATAAATCGAACCATGAGTATAAACTTGACCATTGCATATTATTACAATCATCATACAACAATAATCAGATATAGATGATGAATTTGAACCCTTATGCTCCCTCTCTCTTTAAGTTGCCTCAAATCCCAGACCCAGATAACCTCCGCCTTGTGGCATTAGAGACCGAAAGCTGCCCGAGCTTGTCTACTACTGCCCCAGTTGATGACATCCTTTCTTGGGCAGGAATGTAATGCCGCATCCATACCCCCGTGTACACCTAAATAAAATCAAACATCAAAATTTTTAGTTTCATCTGTTTGTATATTATAAATTATTGACATGCTATAAAATAATTGAAATGTTGTGACAAAAATCAAAAAGAAAAGAAAGTAGATTGGTATTTGTTGCATTTAGAGAAACCTGTGCGGGCCTCATGATCTTTGTGTCGGGATCATCAAGGGACTCTCGCCAGTGTGACAAATAGCCAGCCATTCGAGGGATTGCAAATAAAACAGGAAAGAACTCCGTTGGGAAACCCATTGCCCTGTGTTTCATAAAAAGTAAGAAAAAATCTTGTATAAAACATCCACAAAAAAAAATGTCAAATATGTACCTATAAATCAGCCCAGAATAGAAATCAACATTCGGGTACAACTTTCTTTTCACAAAGTACTCATCTGATAATGCTGCTTGCTCCAAAGCAATAGCTACCTGTATGCCATCAATAGTTTAGGTATGCCTCTTACTGGGTCTCGTAATGGTAAGAGGTTGGGTCAGATTTAGATTCAGACTGTTTGATACCAAAATTAGAAGCCTTTAATATTAGGCTGTGTCTTGTGTCTTGTGTCTCACTCAATCAACAACTATCAAATAAATAGCCTCTTAATGGTTGGGCATGCCACAGCTAGCTTATTTTTCGAGCTTTTTTAAGTTGTCATGTTTGGCAAACCAAAAAGTAGCTTATAATCTAGCTTTTTAAAAAGCTACTTAGACAAGAGCTTTTTTTAAAATTTCCAAATATACCCCTTAATTAATTATAGAAACACATTCTTTTAAATGTCCTATTATGTCCTTTTATATCTTTTAGCTTAGCTTTTCACCTAGTTTTACAAAACATTATTTTTTATCAACTAGCTTTTCAGCTACCAGATAGCTTTTTATTTAACAGCTAGCTTTTCAGTTAGTACGCCAAACATAGCCTTACTGTCTTAATATATTAAACTTGTTTGAATAAGACCAAATGACCATTTTACCCTTACAATCCAAAAAAAAAAAAAAAAAAAAAAAAAAAAAACTCTCAATATTCATCAACTTTAACGTGAGAGGAAAAAAAATCTCACAATATTGATCAAGTTTTTGGCTTAACCCATTAAGTCATTATGTCCAAATTAATTCCTTATGTTCTTAACACCTTAAGTTCATTAAGTCCTAAATGATAAGAACAAGAAAATATCATTTTTTTATGGAGTGTGAAACACACCTCAATAAGGGGATCTCTTCCTACAATGGAGAAAACCTCTTCTGCCAATTTTTTAATAACTTTGGCTCTGGGATCATAGTTTTTGTACACACGGTGTCCAAAACCTGACATTTTTCTTTTCCTGTGTGGAAAATCAAAACCATTATCATCAAATTCAATAATTCATAAATCTCAGCAACTAAATCTAACAAGAAAACTAACCTGTTTTTCACACCTTCAATGAACTCTGGGATATTGTCAACAGTTCCAATCTCATTCAACATCTTTAACACAGCCTATATAACACATGAAATATTCAATAACATTTCATTTTACACCCTAATCATTTTTTGACTAGTTTATTAATTATATAAAAGAAAAACGAATATATTTTATACCTCATTTGCTCCACCATGGAGAGGACCATATAGTGCTCCAACAGCCCCAGCAAGAGCCGTGTATACATCAACACCACTACAAGGACATTTTCGTCATTTTCTAAAATACATAAAAGTTGAAAAAAGAAAATAAATTGTTCACCTTGATGCCAGGTGTCTTGCAGCTGCTGTTGAACAATTCATCTCATGCTCAGCATGTAATATAAAAAGAATATCAAGCACCCGAGCAAGTCTAGGGTTTGGTTTATACGCCTTATCACCTCTGAAATTACATAAAGTTTATATCAAAATTAAATCACAAAATCAAAATCCAATAAAAACCCTAATCAGATAAATCAATAAATAGAACATACAATGAATCTAGCATGTATAAGAAGTTTTCAGAGTAAGAAAGATTGCTGGAAGGAAGAACAGGAGGCCTCCCTGCCATTCTCAGATAAGCTGCTGCTGCAATAGTTGGTGCCTGAGTATTTTATTAATAAATAAATGAAACAAGATTATAAAATATAATTAACAGAAGGGAAAAAGATAGAAATGAAATGGTCAATGGTCAAACCTTCCCAAGTATGCGCACTATTTGCTTATCTCTCACTGGTTTAGACTTGTACAGATCTTGCCCCTATTATTATTATAATGAAATATTAATATGATAAAAAAAAAATCCTAAATTAGTATTTAGAAGTAATAAGATTAAAGTTTACTGACTCTGAGAGCAGGGTTGGCATCAGGGTGGAATACAGAAAGGGCACTCATTGCACTGACAAGAACACCCATTGGATGAGCATCATGAGGCATGGCATGTATAATATCCTGAGAACACAAGTTTTATAAATTTTTTTATTGAAAAACAATCCACTTTTCCTAGTTGTTAATTTGCATATGTGAAAACAATTTACCAAGATTCCTTGAGGAACAGCTGAATGCTGTGCTACTGTGAACTCCCAGTCTGCTAATTGGCTTTGAGAAGGTAAGTTCCCATACACTGCAAACAACAATCGTTTGAGTTTCTAGTTGCCATTGATACTTAAACAGATGTCATTAGGTTAAGATTGTAGAGAAATGAGGAAGAAGAGTTACTTAGAAGGTAGGCTACATCTAGAAAAGAACTACTTTCGGCCAGTTCTTCAATTGGGTAGCCTCTGTATCTTAAGATCCCTTCATCACCATCAATGTAGCAGATTGATGACCTAACAGGAGCTGTGTTTAGGTAACCAGGATCGTAAAGCTTCAGACCTTTATCATTGTTTCCTGTTGTTATCTGCAACAATTTACACCTTTAACTTCAGCTCAGGCGTATCAACTCTTTATAATTGAATTAGACATTTGATAAAACGATTGGATGAGGTTCTACAAGAAAACAATCGAATTTTGTCTCTCTGGTACACTGTTTACGAGAAAATTGGATTGAATTTTGATAAAAGAGTTGCAATTAACATTTACTCCGATCGATCCTACCATCTGATTCCATGAAATCTGGTACCTATTTGACTAGTTATAAATCCAAATTCGTGTTGTTTAAAAACCCCCAAAACACACGAAGATCACAAATAAAAGTTGATCAAACTTAGAGTTTAATGATCCTAATTAGGCAGAATCAGATTTATTGAACTTTGTTTACCTTCTTCAAGTCGGTAGCTCTCACTGTCCCTTCCTCCGAAACTTGAACTTTGTACTTCTTGCCGGTTCGTTCATCGGCGATCACCAACGAACCCTTCAAATTAGGCGGTGGAGACACAAACACCTGAGCGGAGGTGCACGATGACTCGAGAACAGGAGTAAAAGCACTGGATTCAAGACAAGCAGAAAGATGAGCTGATAGAACAGCTAATCTCCCACGAGCAGAAACACTTGAATTATCTGCTACTTCACCTCCCATTTTTCTCGAAGAATCGAATTGCAAACGTCAATTTGATGGAAGATATCGGTTGTTTCTGTATGTAAACAGAGAGATTGCTTGCAAGATTGATCGACCGAGCTTTAATACTAAAATTATTATTATTTTTATATATTTTTCCTAGGGAATGCTACCATTGATGGTATTTATCTTCAAATATCGTCTTCTTTTGATTTTTTCCCTTTTCAGTTTCTTTCCGTTTTTGAGTTTTCTTCTTTTTAACATCTTCTACGTTAGAATTATATTAGATAAGATTTTTTTTGGGCACAAAAAAGTTAAAGACCATATTTGGGTAAGATCCGGTACAAGAATTAATTAACTTGATTTATCGAACTAGTAATGGTTAAAAATCAAATTGTAAGTTGAAGTTCAATTTAATTCCCCATTTATTGTAATCGGTAAGAAGTTAAAAGGGTATTTGAGATTGCTTTTCAAATGATTTTATAAAAAAATTCAAAAAGATGTTTGATAATAAAAAAGTTCTTTTGAAACTAACTTTTTTGAAAAGACAAAATTGCAAAAATGGTCCCTGTGGTTGGCAAATTTATGTGTTTTTTGTTCCAAACGAAATGTTGGTGCACCATTGGTCCAACATTGAATCTTTCTATTGTTTTTGGTCCCTATACACTTAAAATGACAGTTATGCCCTTATAATTTATATTTTTTATTTTCTTTATTGTTGAAATACATAAACTAATTTAATTTATATCTTTTTAACTTAAAAAAAAAAAAAAAACAAATAACTCATTCCCCACTATTATCTTAAAGAAGCCATTCATCATCGGCTCCACCCCCATCAACGATATCTGGAACCACCATCATCAGCCACTATTCTCGTCGGAGTTCACCTAGATCGCAACCACCACCACCTTTTCCTGAGAGCTGGTTGCTAGACTCCCCACCCCACTACCACCACCATCCGCCAGTATCGATACCGTCGGAAACCTTCACACCCCACCGATCTATTCGTACATTGGGGAAAGAGTGATGAATTGGGTCAACAGAGACAACGGGGGAATTTAAACCCAAATCGAATCAACCACCAAACATGGAGCCTTCGGTGATGGGAGATCGATTGTAGAAGATGACAAAAAAAATTAGGTCAATACCTCTTCTTTACCCGCCACTAGTCGACTGCCACAACCAAACAACCTCCACCAAGCTTCACTAGACCGCCATCACCGCCAAGCTTGGTTTCACCTTGTCCAACTTCGTCCACATCTGCTTCCTTCCGTCTGCCACCACCATTAAATCGAAGACCATCACAGCTTCCCCAACTCCATCTCCAAAGACAAGCAATCGATTAAAGTCTTAGGGGCTGTTTGGTAGGATCTGAATTTTTAAGAACTGAATTTTTAAGAGGTCTGAATTTCTAAGAGGGTCTGAATTTTTAAGATCTGAATGTACAAATGTTGTTTGGTTGGAACCTCTGAATTGCAGTGCTGAATTATAAAAATGACCATTTTACCCTTCTGTGTTTTTTTTTTGCTGAATTTGACATTTTTTATTATAAAATAACTGAATCAATTTATTGAATAATTATAAAAAAAATATACAAACACCATATAAAATCCAGATTAAACATAAATCAAGATTAGACATAAATCCGAATCAAACATACCATTATTATTTCTTGATTATACCAAAAGCAGCTAATTGCAATAATACAAGAAAATCAAGATTTCATATCACAAATGACAAACCAATTTTTAATTGTTGTACCCAAAACAATTAAAAGCTCCAAAATAATGATAACCTAAAGTAAAAATATTCTCTTCTCTTGTCAATTTTCACTTGTTTCCCAAAATACCCTTTTTGTGTAAACCATAATTTCTTTACTTAAATTCACCACATGTTCAATATATAACAACGTCTTCAGATTTCATCAAGGTCTTCAATATTTATGTAAAATCACTTGTTTCCCAAAATACCCTCGTTATTTTGTTGAACCTTTTTAACTAAAACAAATAACAAATTTACAAAAGATAAACAATATTTATGTAAAATCACTAAAACCCAAATACATAAGAAAGTATAAATGCAAACTTTTAGGGGATTAGAAAAACTACCTGTAGTAGGTGTATGAAGGTAATCTTTCTGCTTAAAAAAGTTAAGAACAAGGCAAGTAAAAAAGGAACAGGGGAAAACTTGACAATATATATGCAAAATTATAGTGACTCGATTACGTTAATTCTCGTATGGTTTTTCTGTTCATCTTCCACATCTAACAGTCACATGTAAGATTCTTTGCATGCACAACACATCAAATTGTTAATCATTTTTTTGAAAAAAAAAACTCCTTAATAACTAATGTATCAACCTTTTCCAGGGAAACACCATAACCTTCATTTTAAATGCCTAATTATACTAGTAGTCTAGGGAGACAATCATCAGCTAAATGATACATCCAACATATTTCTGAATTTCATGAGATTGCACCAAATCAGATTTCAGAAAAAGAACAAAAAAAAACAAATTTTCACCTCAATTCCATTTCTGTGCAGCAAAATTGAAAGTGGTCAAACAACCCTAGCAGCCGATCAGACTTCAAAATCATGTATCATAGCTAATAACAAATTAGGGGGGAATGGTTTCATGTGTAGACTAGAAGAATAGATTTCACAGAAATCGATTTTATAAAATTAGAGATAAACAAACCTGGTGCATCAAGGCGGTTCAGTGGCTATCGTCGGCGCTGTCGAGGGCGGATATCATCACTGGCGACGATGGCGTTGTTGAAGACTCGTATGTGTGAGGTCGAAGATGGGGGCGGCTATGCTGTCCAAGTTCAACAACGGGAAGAGGTTGGCGGATTTGGTCAGCGATGGGAGGAGATGATCGGCGCTGGAGTTGTTCGGATGTGGGAAAAGAACAAAGGGACGATGAATCATAGAATCGGTGTGTGTTTGATGGATGGATGAATGTGTTTGAGGGCAAAAGAGGGAAGAGCGTGTTTCTTTTTTATTCGGATATAAGCTAAAATCTGAAAGTTTAAGAGGCTTCTGAAAGTTTAAGAGGCTTTAATTCATAGGCTACCAAACACTCTTAATTTGAATAATTAAGAGGTTGCCTCTTAATTTGTCAATTAAGAGGCTACCAAACAACCCCTTACTCTTAGTCGTTCTCTACTCCACTACGTACCCTACCACTGCAAGCTCATTCCTCTAAAATCTATTGAACCCCCTCGCTCTCTCTCCTCTCGTTCTCTACACCACTACCGACCTTTAATTTTGGTTCCTGAAACAAGATTGGAAACGATTTTCGGATTCAATTTTAGAGGAGAATTTGAAATGGGGACTTCAATTTTTGGATTTGATTTGTGGATTTAAGTTCGTTTGGGGCAACACCATCTTGAAGGCATATGAGATGGAGGTCTCAGAGATGTAGGAACCGGAAAATGTCCTCCATCATAAAAGGGTGGTTCGATGAAGTCTTGCCGATGAAGCTAGTGTTCCAAAGGTATGGTGGTGGTGTTGTGGGTTTGATTTTATTTTGGTGGTGGAGGTTCCGGTTGGGAGGATGACATACATAAAAAAGAAGAGAGAGAGAGAGAGAGAGAGAGAGAGAGAGAGTGGTGGGTTTATTTTGTTTTTGTTTTTTATTTTATTATAAGAATAAGAAAATAAATAAAAGAAATTAAAATATAATTATTTAAGGGGCATATTAGTCATTTTAGGTGGGATGTGGACCAAAAACACAAGAAAATAAAACCATAGGGACCAAAACCACACAATGTATCTAAAATTGGACCAGTGGTGCAACTTGACTGTAACATCTCGATTTTTAAGTATTTACCTTTTTAACCCCTTAGTATGGCAATTGTTTGCAAATTGGTCTTCAGTGGCATTTTTTGTAATTTTGAGGACTGCTTGAGTATGCTAGGTGTACATGTTAGTACTGTAACATCCCAAAATTTTTAATAAATTTGAAACTTTTTAAAATAACATAAATCATACATTTAATATATTTTATTCAAAACAAATGAAATACCAAACCCCAAGATCAAATCCGTTTCCAAACATTATTAGTTATAATTCCAAAATTTATGAAAACATAACCAATTGAATATCAATTCCAAAAAACCCGCCATCTTGTGTACCTGAAATAGTATTTTCAAGGGAAAAGGATAAGCACAAAGTTTAGTGAATTCCACACATACATAGTATCATATCATATAATCCTTAACCCTATACACGGATACAAACGGTATCATACACATAACCACGCATGCATGTCAAAGAACAAATCAGTAACATACATACTCCTATTGAGACACATTGGCTAGGCCCGATCCCCCTTGCTCAGTACATCGAGCCCTTGGGACACATTGGCTAAGCCCGATCCCCCGTACCCGAACCCATTGGGACACATTGGCCATGCCCGATCCCCCTTACTCATTTCGTCGAGCCTTTGGGACACATTGGCTACGCCCGATCCCCACTCGGATGCGCCGAGTCCTACCATGCATATCCTCAATACATGAGGTAAACCACTAGACTCTACCCCGCCTAGTAATACCCACATAAATAATACAATACATAGCACACACGAGCTAACGTAAAGAAGATATAACACAACACGGTGTAGTGAGGAACTCACCTCTAAACACAATGAAACCTCCCAAGCAATCCGAAACCCACTCACACCTGTTTTCCCTTCACACTTCCTAATAATAACAAATAGAGTTGATTTTAGTTACTAAATTGCCTTACTTTAGCAAATATACTAATGAGTAAAATTCCAGATTTCTACATAAAAATTAGGGTATGTTCGGGACCTGTTTTCACCACCTTAAACTTCATATTTTTCAAAATTGTATTACATGCTGATATATTAGATTCTTAGCTTTAAAATTAGTATTCACACACCTCCATACGATTTTTCTACGATTTATGGCGAATTTTACAAAATTGTCTCGCATAGCAGCTCATTCCGGACCAGTCTGGATAAATGGTCGTTTCTACCCTAGCTAGAGGCATTTATGGATTTTGGTCAAAACTAATGAAGTGTAGAGAACTCAGATATGAAACTTTTGGCACTGGTTTCGATCAAAAAGGGTTTTCCATGACCGAGATATGATCTTTCAAAAACAGGGGCAGATTAGGGAAA